GGCTCAACTTAGGGGGTGTTAGTCAATTGGGACATTTTCGTGCAAAATGGGATAATTATTAAAGTGGAATAATTTTTCGCTAGTGGGATATTTTAGTGGGATAAATAGGAACAATTTTGTGAAGCGGGATATTTTGATAAAATAACGTGGGATAAATTTTTATAATCTTAAAATATATATTTATGCATTTTGAAGATATAAATACTATTTATGTATTTTAAACTTACTATTATTAATTGATAATTGTTTACAAGAATTTTTGTTCTTTACTATTAAATAACTTTTGGTTAGACTATAAGATATTGGCAATTATTATTATAATAATGGTCTAATGATGGTGATAATCATAATAGGAAAGAAGTAAAAAATATATATATATAAAATAAAAATAACAAAATAAATATGAGTTCTTGTTTTTTACCACCTAGTTCCAAGCTAAAACTTGGAATAATTTGAGAGACTAGAACTCTCATTTTTGTATAGAAAAATAAAAAAAGTTGGATAATTTTGTACCATTATCCCAATTCTAGTTTTGTTAGAGTTCTACTTGACTAACACTGTAAAATTTTGTTCTAGTTTTAGTTTTATGTGACTAACACCTTAAAAATTTATACCATAGATTATCCCAGTTCCAATTCTAGATGACTAACCCCCCTTAAGTTATAAAAAGTAGCACTTTAATACCCTAAATTGTAAAACAGTAGCACCTTAATACCGTAAGTTGTAATAAATTGACATGCTAGTACATTCTGTTAGTTGCACATGATAATATTGTTTCAAAATTTTAACTGGTTTAAATTATAAGTTGAGTCGCTGATGTTGGTGAATCGGGTCGTGTTCTACGTGAATCTGGGATGACTAAACCCGGGTTGCGGTTCACTATAGCATACCATGTTCCCGACTTCTATGGGCTAAAGTTTATAAGGTTAAAGAAATTATCTATTTAACTTTGTTGCATAAGACAATGATTGAGAGTTATGATGATAAAGTTGCGAAAGTGATAATTGATTATTGAGCTATGTTGCATGGAAAGGGTTACGAGTGCGGATGCAGGACGCGACAAATTTGTTGAAGGTAGTGTATGGGTCATGACTATACATATATATTGAAATTAATAATTTACATGAGATATATTTTGTACACATGTTATAATAAAAGTTAAAATTTCTATAACATTTTTATATTTCTTTTATTATATAGATCGTGAATCGTAAAACAATTTGCTTTTGAACTAGATACCTAAACAACCCTTTAAAATCAACTTTTAGGTGTGGTCTAAAACAAACCTGGCTTGTCCAATGAGTTTCAGAAAGTGGATTTAAAATGTAGGATATACATCATAAAAATGTATGACAAGTTTTAAACTAAAACATGTATAATATAATTGAATATACGTCTGAATAAAATGCATGCATATGTTCAAGGTGTCCAAGGAGTTTCGGTATCCAATAGCGGTATGATATGGGTTGGGTATGTGGTACGCCTTCATGATAGAAGTACCCGCTAACCACCAAAGGTTTTAAAAGATGTTTGGTCCTAGATTGTGCTGTTCCTGCTGAATTTCGTAGAGATTTCCTGGTATTGGTAGTCTGGTACAGTTCGTGTTGAGTAGGGGGGTGTCTTCATGATGGAAATACCCTGCAACATAGTTTGAGCTTTATAAATAGGTGTTTTCTGATAAATTTTTCTGCTGCTACCAAATTTCATAGCGATTTCCTGGAAAGCAATCCAAAGCTCAAAGTGATAATTGATTATATGAATTTGTATTTTCTTTTTTCATTTAAACCAGTTTATGTTCTTCAAGAAGAAAAAAAAAGAAAAAAAACCAATTAGTGCTAAGGAAGTTTTCCAGTAGGGAGTATCTTTATGGAAGTTGGAAACACATGGGCTAGTAACTGCAGCTAATTTTATGTCAGAATTTATTTAGACAAAGAGGACAAGTGGGTATATCCAATATTCTAAAACATGGTTTTATTTCCGTTTAATCTAGAAGCAAATAGAATTAAATAGGATCATGCAGCGGTTAATTAGATGATGTTGAATTATGTGGGTTTGAATTATATATTAAATTATAAAGATATAAAAATATAAGAATTAAAAAATTAACAAATGTGCAATTGAGCAATGAGCAAGCGACAAGAAGTTAAAAACCTGAAAATTAAATTCATACAGTAAGAGTCACTAGGTATTAGAAGTGTAGAAACTAAAATACAAGTTCATCTATTCTTCCTCATTATCTTCGTAGCAAACATTTTTCATCATCCAACTCATCTTCATCAGGGAGCTTCATAGTCATTGAACCATTGCTGTCTGCATCCCAATCATCTACATTAGGTTCTTCCTCCTCAATCACCTCGTATACTGTTGTACTAGAAGAGCCCTCCTGTTCACTGATGATAGTACTGTGTTTCTTAATATGATAAATTTTATATGTTAGTTATAAATTTCAACAAGCAATATTTTGCCTGACTTGCTGAAGTAGGCACAATTTCAGTTCTCTTTGTGCTTCTGAATTGCATTGAAGGTTAGCAAAAGGTACAAAGCCAGCACATAAGATGAAGATAATATGATGAATTGTTTGGTTTTATTCTGCACTTCTCATGATAGTTTCAATTCAAGTATTCAACTTAGGTGAATACATACTAGTTTTAACATATTTCATCGATTTTGCAGTGAATTTTCATGGATAGTGGAATACTCTGAGATGTCAAGGCTCAAGCACTCAATAAGAGATGATGGATGCTAAATGACCTGGTTCTTTTTGTTAATATATATTTTAAGCAATCACCATCTGTCTGCAGCTCCGCATCAAAATTTTTTTTGTTCACATTTTTTTTTCTAATATATTTTTTTTGCATTTTTTAATGTTGTCTGGTATTTGTGGCATTTGGGCTTCTTGATGATGTCAGGAACTTATCCTAAACGGTGCTGTATGGCATTTTTCTAATATATTTTTTGCATTTTTTTATAGTTCTCTTTATGGGTGGCTTGTTACTTTTGGTTTCTAAGGTTATTAGTTGAGCTTGTTCGCGAAATTTTGCCTGTATGATTTGACAATCTAGAGAGCTTGATGTGTGATAATAATAATGGGGGCTTATTTTCCTATAAAATGTTTTCCATTTGATGATGTATCATCCCAGATCTTATAGTTCATTACCGGATTAAGTGTACTTGGCTGGATAGCATACCCTAATGTTTTCAGGGATTCAAATGTGTTTGAGCTAGGCAGCCAGCATGTTCTTGATGGAAACTAATATTTGATATTCTTCGCCTGAGTAATGTATGAACTTGTATAATTTGGAATCAGGCACGAGGTGTGCTATGTGGTTGTTGCTTCCATAGACAGCTGCTTACCCCAACCAATGTAAGTTATCAGCACGAGCACAATCATGCCGGGCGTGCTGCAACGCGATACTGAAGTATTTAGTTGGCTTCCTTGTATTGCATGGGCGTATAACATGCTGATTGCTTGCGCTGCTGTTGGATGGTCATGTCGACATAAAATGGTCACGTCAACAAATGTAAATACGCAGTCTATGGTCGACGATCACTCAAAATCTAGGCCTAGATCAATTATGACCCAATGTTTTCCTAACCAAGATTCAAAATGAACCCGGAGAGGGGATGGACCGGACTGTTCAGCTAACATCGAAGGGCCATTGTTTGATCCAAGGAGAACTGTTATTGACGCAGTGTTTGTCAAGCATAAACGTTTCCGAAATGGGGGTTGGCATCAAACCTGATGATTTTGAGTGGTTGCTAACCACAATGATAGTATGTACTCATGAAATCCAATATTGAATAGAATCAAATAATATAGAATCAAACAGTATGAAGCATCGTCGTACCAACACAATCCGCTTATGCAATATAAGAGAAATCAAAGTTCATTACTATCGGAATAAATTCTCCTGGTTATTCTCGAAAGCTTACACCAATTTTAACTTAGACAAATTAACCTTTTTTTTCCCTGTACTTCGACACCATAGAGTTTGCACATTCTAAGCTCTGATATCCAAAAGTTTTTCTCGACACTTTGATACCCCAAATCTTTTATTTAGCATGTTTATGCATCAAGTTTACACGTTTTTGAACTTTGATACCCCAAAACTTTTGATTTCGACACTCTAATACCCTAAAGTCTAAGCGTATCGGTGTTAAAAAATATGCAAACTTTAGGACGTCAGAGTGTCGGCAGAAAACTTCATAGTCAGAAAGATGCTAAAAGCTTTGGGGTAGCAAAGTTAAAAACGATACAGTCTGTTTGGTAACAAAGTGCAAATAAGAACAAGTTTTCACTGTAGACTCAAACCAAGTTTTAATTACCAAAATCGACCCATTTTTTTTTTAAATTATCAAAATCGACCCACTTTATGCCACGTAAGCTTAATCCCATTTCCTAATTAGTCGGGGTTGCCAACCCCGACTGTTTAGGAAATTGTTAAACCCCAATTAGAAGCCTTAAACCCGATTTTTAATGCCCTAAATCGGGGTTGGCAACCCCGACTAATTAGGAAATATGATTAAGCTTACGTGGCATAAAGTAGGTCGATTTTGATAATTAAAAAAAAAATCGGTCGATTTTGGTAATTAAAACTTATTTGAGTTTTTTTAAAAATTTGTTCGTGCAAATAACCCTACATCTAGCAATCTGTCCCCATCGGTATACCGGGGGCTCATTTGCCCAAGCCTACCAAAAGCGTCCTCACCGCCGATTCAACCTGTCCAAACTTCATCGCTGATATCCTTCCCCCGTGGCCCACCCACAACGCCACCACCACCCACCCCCAGACGCCAAAAAAAAAAAAAAAAAACCCTAAAACTCCAACCAAACCCATCCAATGCATTCTAATGAAGTGCCCATCCATCGCCTGCCTATGGCCGTCATCCCCCTCCCTCCCACCTCATCACCGCTCCCTTACCCTCCCTCTCCCTCCCTCTCTCTACACCGGCTCTCCGATGGCGCATCGTCTTCTGTCCCTCGATCCAAACCCTAACCCCATTTCCATCCTCGTGCGGCCACTCCTCCCCCATCACCGCCCCTCCATCTCGCGGCGACGCCCACCTCATCACCGCCTCCTCCGACGGCACCTCTGCGCCTGGACCCACCGTCCCACGCTGGCCGCCGCCGAAGGAGGCTCCCTCCATGGGCCGGGTCGCCGTCTCTCATCCGCGTGCTTCCTCCGGCGATCGCCACGTGTGCGTCGCATGCACGGGTGGCGGCGACGGCGGCGCCTCGGCCGTGCTCATCGTGGACTGTTCGGCGGCTGAGTGTGGTTCGGAGTATAGCTCATGGCGTGTTGGGGATTTGGTTGATAAGGTCTATGGTTTTGGTGGGTGAAGGATGGCGGTCTTGGCTGGGTGGGAGCCGGCAGGGTTTCGGACGTTGAAGTTGGAGGAGGAGACTGAGGCTCTGGATGCTGTGATTCCCGAGGAGGGTTGCGACTGTGGGGCACGGGATGTCGCGATTTCTGAAGATGGTAAGTTGCTGGCTTTGATTTTTGAATCTCGATGTGTGTTTAAGTTGGTAGCTGATGGAGCTGAGATCGGGGAAGTTTCTTATGAGGATATGCATCCAATTGTTGGAGGCTCGTTTGTTTCTATGGAGAAGTTTATTATGTGGAGTAATAGTGGTGCTGCGGTAGTGTATAGTATGTTGAGTTTGGATGGTGTGGTTAGGTTTGAGCCTTTGTGTGAGATTCCGGCTGTGGGTTATTCAGTTGATGAGAGGTCAATTTTTCGTTTCTGTCAATTTAAGTGTGACTTTGTTCGTTTGCGATCATTATGTTTTGAGTTGGGAGACTCGTTATTGTGGAAGCCTTATATAGAAATCTGGTCAATTCCACAAAGTAATAGCCGTGAGGGCATTAGTTCAAGCATTTTACTCAGAGAAGGAGGGTTTCCTAGTAAAACTTTTCAACAAAGAGGGATTCCGAACTCTGAAATTGGTGAGTGCAGTAAGAATGGTGTTGCATTGAATGAGCGGGCTGTATCGTCCTCAATGGTGCTGTCTGAGAAATCCTATGCTCCCTATGCTGTTATATATGGTTTCTATGATGGGGAGATAGAAGTAGTCAGATTTATAAATCTTTTTCCAAAGGTGAATTCTCCTTTTAAAAATCAAGACGATCAATCCCATTCATGCACATCAGAGAAGTTCTTATCAGGACACAGAGGCGCAGTCCTTTGCCTGGCAGCACGATGTATCACCATAAACTCTGAAGAAGAAACGGTCTGCAGGGTATTAGTATCCGGAAGTGCAGATTGCACAGTGCGCATATGGGATATTGATTCTGGCAATGTGCTTTCAGTATTGCACCATCATATAGCACCGGTCAAGCAAATTATACTACCGCCACCTCAGACTAACTGTCCTTGGAATAGTTGCTTTCTCTCGGTTGGGGAGGATTCTTGTGTTTCTCTTGTTTCCCTTGAGACGCTGCGCGTTGAAAGAATGTTCCCTGGACATCCTTTTTATCCATCTGTGGTTGCTTGGGATAGCAGAAGAGGTTATATAGCTTGTCACTGCCGTAATATCTCATCCTCATCATCTTCCTCATCATCTGATACAAGTAGTGTTTTATACCTTTGGGATGTGAAATCAGGTGCTAGGGAGAGGGTAATTCGAGGCCCAGCTTCTCATTCCATGTTTGATCATTTTTGCAGAGGTATTAGCACAAATTCTGTTACTGGAAATATACTCGGCGGCTGTACTTCTGCCTCATCACTACTATTTCCTTTTTTTGATGATTTGGATTTGACACAATCTCATGTAAAGAGGAACGAGAAGGGTAAGGGCACAATGCCTACCGCTGGAATCTCTCATGTGAGGAGTACAGATCTTTCTGGGATGGGGAAGGGAAAGTCACCATTGCAAAGTGCAGGGAATAATTCTGATTCTGCTGCCATTAGCTCCAAAGAGCATGTTTCATTACTAAAAGTTCATCGAAATACGATGCATCCAGTTAAATCTTCTTGTGCGTTTCCTGGTATTGCAACTCTGGAGTTTGATCTTTCATCCCTTATGACTATACACTTTGCAGAAATTAGTGATAAGCAAGTAATTACTCATGTTATCAAGAATGATGTGAAAGAAACAACTTTGCAGCAAGGTGCTCTGCAGGATAACTCCGATGTGAGAGGAATTGAGAGTGACCACATGAAAGATTCAATGGAAGAATGTTTACTTAGGTTTAGCTTATGTTTTCTTCATTTATGGGATGCCGATACGGAGTTAGACAAATTACTGATGGATGAAATGGGTGTCTTTAAGCCAGATGGTTTCTATGTAGCTTCTGGGTTGATAGGGGATAGAGGCTCCCTTACTTTGTTGTTCCCTGGTTTGCACGCCACATTAGAGGTATTTTTTTTTTGTTGTTGTTGTTGATGATTTGTAGCCTTTATTGGCACTCATAGTCAATACTCTTTGAATTCTAAGACATAATATACATTTTTCAGCTTTGGAAGTCTTCATCAGAATTTTGTGCTATGAGATCTCTGGTCATTGTATCTCTGGCTCAACGTATGATCAGCTTATCTCATTCGAGCACGACTGCCAGCAGGTCCAAATTTCTTATCTTCATCTGGTGCAATTTTCAGCTGGCTAGATATATTGACGTACATATCATATACTTTCGTACATAACCGTGTCCAATTATTGAATACTCTATGTTAACATTGCTTTTTTTGCTTTATTGGCGTTATTCAGGCCTAGCCGGTACAAACCCGTTTGTGAAGTTCTTTTTACACAGCTGTAATAGGATTAGCCCTGGAACAACAGTATATAGTTCCGGGAACCTTAACCAATATCAAACCTTTGACCAAATGTTTACCGTTTACTTCTAGTTTTCTAAATAATTTCTACTGTTAATGCACAAGAATATCTGTAACCTCTATCACTTTAAGGCTTTTCATATTTTCTATTGCTCTCTGCTTATGTAATCAAGGTCTTTGGACTTTTGAGCTTCTGCAGTATTTAACTGATTCTCTATATCTTTGTTCTTTTTGGGCTTTTATTTTGGGATTAGATGTATTAGCTGGTTCATTACCATTTATCTTCTATATTTCTGCTTCCTTGCCCCTCAGCTTACTTGTTGAACTCATACTTTATTATTTAACTTTATTCTAGCATTTTTATTCATAAGTCCCAATATGCTTCATTCTTCTTCAAAGCCTGGTGATACATTCAACTTGATGACAGAATTTATAACAAAGAATCTTATTTTTGGCTAAGTTTATCATCCAAGGTAAAACATATGTACAAATCAAATCAATCATGATAAAGGAAATCTGGATGAATCCAAAATGTTTCACCAGGATGGGCATAAATCCAACACTTGTTTACCTTTGCACATGGGTTTGTCTACTTACGTATAGCCTTAGTCAAGATAAGTCTCAGATTTGTTCCTGATCTGATATCGTGCGAATAGGATTCTAAAAACCATGCTAGACACAGAACTAATCTGATCGTCTGATTGCAGAGATTTCTCGCATAAGTAATTACTGGAGCTTGCTTGTTAGTGTATTCATCAGGCAGGAATAAAGTGGATTGTATTAGTAGAGGTGGATGTGCTGACCAACTCTTCTGATTTTATCTAAGAAATAAAAAGTAACCTTTACTTCCATGGACATGAGACTTTAGCTATGTGCATGAACTAGCATGTTGTATTGTGGTTCTCAAACTCGTAAAATACTAGCTGAAAATAAGCAAGTGGAATAACATAATGAATCTTAAAGTTTGTTGGTTTAATTTGGTCTAAAAGACATCTATCATTACCATTAGCCAAAGCTTGATTTATACCATGCCTTCCCTCTGGTCTTGTTATGTTGGGAAAGTGACTTGATCCCAAAGAGGATGAGTCAACTTTTACTTACCGTGAAGCAAATAAAATACAATCGCATAAAATTCCAATGTGGAATTATACAATCTTCTATAACTTTTCTTTACTACTTTCAAGCTAGAGCATATATATCATCATGCCCAGCTTGTTACATAAAGAGTGAATTCTTACTTTCATACCTTAGTAATTCTTTATTAAAAAAGTGAAACTCTTCTTGGTCAGTGCCACATAATTATCACATTCCAATCCCCTTAGTAGTTTTATGAACAACAAAATTGGTTGAAGCCTTTGCCAGAACAAGTTTCTTTTACATAAGAAGCCAATCTCAGTTTTTCCTTTTTTTTTGGTCGGAGGAAGTGTGCACGACTTTACAAAAGTGATTTGAAACTCCAGAAGATCAATATATCTTTGATCTCCGACAATAAACAGATGAGTAGTAGAGCCTTGGACATGTAACATGAAGACAAGCGGATCTCAACTTGAAGACATATATTAGAGTCTGAGACATGAAGAGAGATGCTAGGAAGGCTGACATAGAAGTAAATCAGTGATAGTCGATGTAAAGAACTTGATTAGATAAAATGTAGGATTTCGATCGATCTAATTCCATTCTTGTATTTTAAAGCATGCTTCCGATCTGATGTTAAACTGGTTTGGACGAAGTGGGGTGAAGAGGTTGCCATACGTTTGTGATGCGCTTTGACAACTCATATTAATGCTGGTGACATGAGGAATTTGGAGTTCTTCATGAGTTGGATTGGGTGGTGATGACAGTGGAGGCCACCTGTGAGAAGAGGAGGCCTACTGTGCAACAGCTATGTGGTAGTGGATGGCCTCCATGTTGTT